CATACCACAGCCCAGCAGTCACGGTCAAAAGAATCCCGGCGTGAAGGGGTTACATTGTGCTGCACACACAATGTGTAAATAAAAACTACTCAAAATGTCATAAATTTCCAGGAAACAATTGTAGAGTTTCTGGGGTTTAGTTTCTAAGGTATACTGAATATCATAACATACTTGTATGCTGTCTGTCTCATCCATTCATGTCCATTTTACGATTTTTTTTCCACAAAAATGTGAAAAATAAAGAATTCCAAGGCACACTTACGAGCGCAGCGACGCGTGACGGCCCCAATTGTTATTCGCACGTGAGCACGTGCTTCAAAGGTCAACGGAAAGTTTCCTGTGCCGGCAACTCCAGCCGACGTGCAATGCGCAGTGCGGCCGCTGGGGTTAGCAGTCCATTGTTTTGTTATTTCTCCAGGTCTGTGGTTTAAAATCTCTTGTTCTACGTACACATTGTAGCCAAACGTCTGCAGGGCATGGTTGAGCTCATTGGCGTCAATGTTCCCTGATCGGTCTCGATCAAATCTGTTCACAGAAGTGCAGAGTAAACAACAACATTTATGGATTGTTTGTTTGTTTGGCAATCAAACAAGTAAACAGGTAGCACTTTGAATAATGAGGTAACCAAAATGAAAGGAATTGGAAATTATCTCAATTCTTGATCTAGAAATCGCAACAGTCATCTTTCTGTTGATACCTACCTGAAAAAGCATTGCATAGCTGTGTTGACAAAGAAGTCACAACTGTGCCCGTCATGCCATTACATTCAACAAACACGATTATTTCATTGTGACTGAATTCACTCACCTTTCAAAGCAATTTCTCCAGTCTTGGATGTACTTCCACAATGCAGCAAATTCATTAAAGTTGATTGTTCCATTTCTGGTCACAAAAAAATTTTTTTTTTAAAGTTACACATAAATGTAGTCCATTATTAAATGCTTCGAGTTTGCAAACTGGAAGTTACTTCTTCAGGTCTGAATCAATAATACAATAGTTATTGTCAATGACCTCTTTTATGTAATAACGCAGAGAAAAGAAAGCCTTTGTCATTTCTTTTTCAACAGATACAAATTGTGCATATTTGGCTACTGCATGCTGAATATAATCAGTTTTTGGTGCAGTTATCAGAAGCGTATTTTGATACTGTTCTCTCGAGTGAAATATGCTGGTTCCCTGTCAATCAAAAACATGGAAATTCAGAGATGTAAACCAATGAGGAGTGCGTGGTGGCACTGCTCACATGTGTCATCATGTATCGTTTGTACCCCGCCCCTGTCTCACCAATGGTAATGCCCTCTGAACTTTGAACAGACGTCGTCCGAAGTTTGGATGCTGAAGCAAAATGAATGGATTTCATATGATGCACGATGTGCGGCAAAGGGAGACCCCCCCTCTATTGTGTCTAAGGGGGTCCCCTTTATCGCATATCGTGTAGGTTATCGTGGATTTGGTGGTCCAAACTGATTTTGTTTGTCATCAACTTGCACCATATTGTTACAGCTTGTGCAAAACCTACGGCGTCCACGATGAAGAGCCAATGATTTTTCGTTTCAAAACAGCCATTTTCCATTTCGCAAAATCCAAAATTCTACTTCAGAACTTCAAATTCCGTTTCCTACCTTAGTAAGCATTAAAAAGGAGGGCAAGTTTTAAACTATGCATGGGAACCATTTGCCAAATCTCCCCCCCCCAAAAAAAAATTAATGAAAACAACAAATACCCTTTTTTTCAAGATGTATTTTTGCTTTGGGGAGATGTTAATTATATATAACAGGTTTTGCCCTTACCCAACGAGTCCCACCCGAGTAAGCTTGTGAGGTTTTTTTCGCAAGCTCTCGGACAAGCACTGAGCATACAGTGCTTATTAATATACGTTGGGTAAGGGCAAAACCTGTTATATATAACAAATACCCTGTTTGGAAATACTGTGCAGAATGTTTGCTTTACTTTATAAAGGCATGCTTACTAGGGAACTTTGCAAGTTCCATTTCAAGCAATGGACTCCACTTCAAAGTGTTGAATCTGCTAATTCCGTCCGTTTTCCGTGATTGCAGAAAATCATTGGCTCTTACGATGGTATAGTCGCCAGGTCCCCTAGTTCGCCACTTACTGTGAACACCAATCAGACCTAATAGGAGGTGGCAATACAAGGGATCCGGCAACAATACGGTCAGAAATGTTATATTCTGTGACCTACCCCCCCTCACCCAGTACTACATAATTATGCCTACCACAGAACTTTGATGTTACTTCAGGCAAAGAATCAAGAAGCGAAGCTTACCTGTCACGGTCAAACATGCCGATCATCAGCCGGCAGGTTTCCTCGTTGAAATGGGTCCAGTTACCGTTAACCAACGCTTGCCGGAGTTCAGATGCTGTTATTGAGCCACTATGATCGGCATCAACAGCCTGAAAAAAAAAAAAACAGATCAAGAGCATGAAACCAAATTTAAGCTCCGCAAAGGGGACATTTCCACGAGTTTCAAGTACCGCAAATTCATTGACAACAGTTACAGAAAAAAAAACAAAATGCATGTGTTGGTGGAA